CAATTAACTGGTAAATTTTAATTAATCCGCCGCACATTGAAATGCATAAAATGAACTTGAACCCTTCAATAAATATACAAGTATTACAGGAAATAAATACTTCGTGATGATTTTGGATGTTAGTGCGAGTAAGTATTGCGATACAATGGCTGATATTTACGGTGGCCATATTTATGCCAGAAAAACACGGGACAGAATATCTTATTTGCAGTTATCTAAAAAAGCTGAAAATCTCAAAACTTTTTGGTTAAACATACATGAGTATTTCAATTATACTTTCTACTTACTGCTTTTTCCCGCAGTTAACCACACCTTTGCTTTTTTTATCTATAAATTGCCCTAACGCAATTAAACTAAAATCGTTTGTATTTATCAAATAGATATTAAGGAGGCTCACTTTGCCAAAATTCAAATTGAATCTCTCTTGATATCGAACCATGTATCTATACGTTTAGTACTTCACAACCAAAGTTTTTTATTTTATAAACCGATTTTAAACTTGAATTATTAAAATACTTCCCATATATGAAATTTGTTGGAAGTCTTTTCTTGTGAGAGAAAGCATTTTTTGTGAAGTACATATCGACGACTCCATCCCATACCATGCTAAGTCAACATAGACTTAGTATAGTATGCTTTGGAGGCCTCGATATAGACCTAAAATTTCCTCGATAGTAGTGTAAAAAAGGAAGTCAATAGAAAAACTTAGCCTTATACATAGATGGCACGGTAAATTAAGAACTAAGAAGTACAGGACATTTTGCGACACGTATAAAGTAAATCAATTACGAGACAATTTACTTAAAACAAGTAATTTTTAAGCAAAAACAAAACCGACTTCAATTCTCATATACAAATTTAAGATTATCGTTAATCTTTTCATGATCCGATGATCGGATTCAAACCAAATTAGAATGAACCACCTGTGCGGTAACAACTTTCCTTTAAACAAAGAATTACAGAAATCGGTTAACGTGGTACAAAATTATGCGGTAACATAAATAACAAAAAATATATATGTTCTGACGAAGGAAGGTTATCATTCCTTCTTTTTGTGAATTCAGTTAAAAAGGACGGTCCCGTACAATAAAGGACGGATGGTCACCGTATTCATAGTGCAGTTTTGCATTTGTAAATAGTTAGAAAATAAGTTAGGAAAAAACTATTCCAACTCTTGCTACCCCGCTTTTTGTAGGTGAAATGCTTAAGTAGAGTGGCATTGGACTGGATTTTTAGAATATAGAGTGTTGCAATGGGGTTAGTTTTTATTTCGCGTTTTATCTATCGAAGTCAGTGAGCTCACATCGTTTATAAGCACACATTATGTTAGGTACTCGCCTTATCGCCATATTAGCTGGATTGAGATTGCGATTGGGAAGTAAGCGCAGGCAAATACTTACAGTGGTCGTGCAAGTTGTGGCATTTTTAACATTTATATTTCGGGTTAGTGCAACTCTCTAGCATTGGTGAACAGCTCTGCAGTGACTGCCATAAACTTGACACCTCTGCAAGATGGTATGGTTTTTGGAGTAATAACTTTGTGCCGGTTGTAAGTAATCTTCGGGAGAGGAATTGGTGGTGGTTTAGGGGACTGACGATGATTGGGTATACCCGCACTTATTACATTTATTAAATTGCCTGCCGAGGGACGATCGCTATTAGAAAACCAGTTTTTTATGTTGAACCCAGGCTCTGCGGAATGGTAGCGCGCACTGCTAACCACTACACCGCAGCTAAAAAATCAATCGAAACCCAAACCCAATACATGAAAATTATTATACTCTGCTCTCTAGTTTCGCGTTATGCTTCGACAAAAAAAATATTTTTAAAGAAAATGTAAAACAGTTCAAATAAGAACAATTTATTTTTAAACTTCTTAAGTAAAAATAAAAAATATAACAAGATATCATTTGTTTTTCATTTCGCTTTGACAATAGACCATTAAAGAAAATTTAATAATATTTTAACAATGGGCAATAACAACCCATGGTAAGCATAACAGTTTTAAAATACATATATGCCGTGGAACTGATTGTTCGGTACGAGTGAATCGATGATTTTGGAATAATTCATTGCGAAGTGCGTAAGTTGTTACACCGAGCAACGTGTGAAGGCTATGTTAGAGATGCAGTCACCAATCCGTGTGCACAGCGATTCATTTCGACCAGGGTACGAAAATAAATCGTACAAAACAATTCCCATTTGCTTGTCGATTATCATATCATTTGTGGTTTTGCACTGTTTTGGACATAGTCAAAAACAATTTGTAAGATTCACTGTCTTTTTCTCCAGCGAGAAGCGTTTCGCTACCTAAATATGAAAAGGTGCCAAGTCCATTTTTTTTGCAAAATTTAGTTTTTGAAGGTAATACGAAACTACATCGAATTTTCATCATAACTTGACACCTTTTCACCCTTAGGTGACGGTTTGTTTTCGTTTGTAACAACTGTACCATCGGGTACGTTATATCTGTATTCATATGGAATATGTCGACAGGCTGGCTTTAGTATAATTCGGCATTCCCTTTATTCTTTAAACGACAAGGAATTTATAGATGATACTTAACAAGAATATTGACCTGCTAGTATCGGAACTATTTCTGTACGTTTATTTGCCAAAAGTTCTTCAACGGCTCGGCCTTTGCCGACGTGGGTTTCCATTTATCCAAGGTAGGTTGGTATTGAAAATGAGAGAAATCGGACTGTAACCCGTACAGAGACAATTTATGTATCACATTGAAGTGCTCGATCTGAAACTGGGGTTAGATTTAAGAATCATTAGACCGCTTTTGATATTTGTTTCCCACGAATGCATTAACATTTTCAATTTCTAACAACAATAATTTTGAACAATTTCATTTCTTTATTTTTAACTTTATATAATTTTGAAATGCTGGAAAACTGAAAAACAAAAATCTTGGCGTACGAACTGAGGAAACGGTAAAGTATTTTTAATTCTCGATAAATATGCGCTTCAGATAATCTGATTATTTCAGTTTTCTCTTGCGGGTTAGAGAGGGGCGAGAATTCTCGGAAGACTGACAAATTAAGATGGGTAAGTGCCAAAAGAAATTATTTTGCGAAATTTAGTCGCTTGGGTATTTGAACCCCAGCCTGGTATAATTAATCAAAACCACTGGAACGATCAATTTCGTATCCAAAAAATAACCACTGTACGATAGTTAATAAAGAAATGGTTAATATTTTGCCCGAAGAAGAAATGGCGTCGATATCTACTGTCGTTTCTGAATATCTACCGGAGTAAGTAGGAGTAGGGGAGTTGCACCTCATGACTTGATACTAAAAGTTGGAGCACTTGTTATGTACATATGAATTTTCGCGCTTAATAGTTAAAGAACTGCTATATAATTGTTTGGATGCCCAACACAAATATGTACTACAAAAGGTTAGTTAGTGGACTTTAACATGTGATTCACAGGGCAAACGAATTTTACTACCCCATTTAAATTAACATCCCGGCGAATCAACACGTCCTTTTGTATTTAAACTTCGCCAATTCAAAATTATTATAGCGTTCACAATAACAGCTATATTTACGTATTGCAAAAGTACCAAAGTTAAAGTTAACTACCAAAAGCAATGCATTCGGTTTTTAGAATAAAGAAATATGCAGATTTTTTGGAACACGGAGCAGCCCGATTTTCGGAGACTATTAGTAGTATAGTTTGTTTTCGTACTTTGATCTAAATATGTAGACATATCTTTGACAAATGAACTTCATTTGTTACATATTTTTTACCAGACTTATGAACACAATTGCAGCTCATGACAAAGGGGTATTGGTTAATTACATATATAATGGAAAGTGTTCAGCTTGGAAAAAACTATTTTAGGTGTATCAAACATTTTGAACAAAAAAGGCCCTGTGTTAACGTTGTCAAATGTTTATTTTCTTTTCGCAGTGGTTTCATATAAAAGAAAACGTAATAAGTTTAGCATACATAGTTCCTGCGATATGCCGTGGAAATCACTGAACTTCCGGTAGGTGCCATGCCTGATATTTAATATTTGCAATTTAATTCAGTAACCTGGCATTGATGAAACTAGGAGTTTTAAAACCCTTGGAGAGGTTTTGTAAATTAGAACGTCGTTTAATTTCGATAAGCAGAGATAACTTGATAAAATTATATAACCTTGAAATTTCGATAACTCTATATGTTGCGAAAACATTAATAGTAATACGAACCTTGTTATAAAATTCAGGTTAAGTTTAAAACCGCGTGTCTTTCCTTTAAGTTCAGAATTCAAGAGAGAGTTTTTATTACAAAAAGCAATGTTCAGTTTTACATTACAGGGTTGCTAAGCGTAAAAACAATTCAATGTTCACTACAACATTACAGAGCTGCAAAAGTCAGTAAGAAAGTAAAATACTATGCAATAATATTGAACATTCTCCGGCAGCAAAAACGAAGTTTTTAAGGTTCATCATGTCAGCGAGAAACAAGCTGGCTAAGTTACAAAACATCGGCAGTGGTGTCAGTGTTATCATTGATAAACAAATTTTAGAAATCGGCCGCTTCACAAGTTTGCCATTACAGAAAAGCGTAACGACCCTTACTAGACCATCTGCACCGGGATGTATCTCATGCACTCTCGCCAACGGCCAATAGCCAGGAGCGCTACGCTCATGTTGCAGCAAAACGATGTCGTTGACGCGAAGATTTTTTTGAACTTGTGTCCACTTGGTGCGAGTTTGTAGAGTGTGTAAGTATTCGTTAGCCCATCGATGCCAGAAATGTTGCTTTAGGCGCTCAACTAGTTTCCAGCGGGTCAGGTGGTCGATATTAGAGTCAAGCAGGCTCTCCTCTGAGACGCAAGTTGTGGGTTCACCTACAAGAAAGTGTGCAGGTGTCAACGCTTGATGATCAGTGGGATATGCTGACAATGGGCAGAGCGGCCGAGAATTCAAGCAACTTTCAATTTGTGCAAGAAGCGTACTGAGTTCTTCAAAAGTAAGCACCCGATCTCGCATTATTCGTCTTAGATGATGTTTAGTCGACTTAACCGCCGCTTCCCATAAGCCTCCGAAATTTGGTGAAGCGGGCGGAATGAAGTGCCATGTCGTACCTTCATTTGCAAGTGCGGCAGCAAGATGTTCGGGGAGCGAAAGGAAATCTTTAGCTCTTTGTTAGCCCCTACGAACGTAGTACCGCAATCAGAGTATAAATCGCTGCATCGACCCCTCCTTGATATAAAGCGACGAAATGCGGCGATAAAGGCGTCAGTATTTAAGCTTGAAACTACTTCAAGGTGTATGGCCTTCGTGCACATGCAAATGAACAGACAGATATAGCCCTTTGTGGTTGCCGCTTTGCGAAGTAGTGAAAGCTTTAGTGTTATGGGACCAGCGTAGTCGAGTCCACTGTGCTGAAACGGTTTAGTTGGTTGAAGACGAACTGCAGGTAAATTTCCCATTTGCTGCTGATGCACCTTCGCTGTGTATTTGAAACAGATTACGCATTTACGGAGCACGGATTTTGCTGAGCTGCGCGCTGATAGAATCCAGTAACGTTGAGAGACAAACGAAAGCATCTGCTGAACGCCGCCATGTAGAGTTTGGTGATGAGCGTCTCCGACCCTTAGCAAGTTATCACCATCCAGAAAAGGAGCTAATTGAAGAATTTTACTCTTTTTGTTAAGAGCTTGCTTATTTTCCAAACAGTGTATCTCTTGGGTAAAGTCAATGCGCTGTACCTGCTTGATTATTATAGCGAGTGCGTGTTTAATCTCGCGTGATTTTAGAAAGCCCGTCTCACATAAATTGTTCTCTATTTTGTGTTGCTGCAGCGCTGCTCTTAAGTTATAATAAAAGCGTAGAATATACGCGGTGACGCGCACAAGCCGAGAGAGCGAAGAGAATTTACAAATAAAATCGGGGTCTTCCATAGAGTTTTCAGCTAACGTAGTTACGTGAGAAGCGATATATGATTTTCGCTCTTCTAAACAAGTTTCGAAAGTTAAGTTCTCGTGTGGCCAGTTCGATATTGGCCCAGTAAGCCAAGTCGGCCCAAACCACCACAAAGTATGTGCCTTAAGCTCTTTTGGAGTCAGACCGCGTGTTAAGCAGTCCGCTGGATTCTCGCTTGTACGCACGTGCCTCCACTGACTTACATCAGATATGCGCTGAATCTCAGCTACGCGATTGGCGATGTACACGGACCAGCGCGTGGAATGGCATCGTATCCAACTCAAAACCACTGTGCTGTCGGTCCAATAGAAAACAGGTGCATCCGCGTGGAAGTAGGTTTTCACTTTCGCCATGAGTTTACCCAGTAACGCCGCCGCACATAATTCCAGTCTCGGAATTGACACAGTTTTGAGCGGTGTTACCTTAGTTTTTGACTGAATAAGTGATGCGGAAATAGTTGAGTTGTTATAGACTACCGCATATACAACTGCCCCATAGGCAGCCTGTGAGGCGTCACTGAAACCATGCAACTCAATTTTGTTAAATTTGTTGCATCCAAACCACCTTGGAATCTTTATGCTTTCGAGTTCATGCAGAGAATCTCGATACTGCAACCATTCAGCATTTAATTTAGTTGGAAGTGGGTCATTCCAATCTAGTCCCTCCATCCATAACCTTTGGAACATGATTTTAGCGATAATTGTGGTAGGCGCCAGCCAACCAAGTGGGTCGAATAATTTGGCCGCATCAGAGAGCATACTCCTCTTAGTTATTGCGGAAGCAAAACTAAAGTTGATTTTGAAAGAGAATTCATCTTCGTTCGTGTCCCAAAAAAGACCAAGGGCTTTTACGAGGTTCTCTGCCTTAAGTTCAATCCAATTGGCGTTCTCTTTATTCTCAGGTGGAATTGTTTGTATCAACACGGCAGAATTTGAGTTCCACTTTCTAAGATTAAATCCGCCACTAGATGACAGCCTGCTGAGTTGTTGTTGTAGCTCGATTGCTTCCGCGTTCGTGTCTGCACCTGATATAATATCGTCAACGTAGGTATCATTTAAGTACACTTGGCTTGCGAGAGGATAATTTGTTTGCTCATCAGTGGCTAGTTGGCGTAGAACACGAATCGCTAAATACGGAGCAGAAGTTGTCCCATAAGTGACAGTGCAAAGTTTATATATTTTAATTCGCTTTGTAGAATCCTCTCGACAGAGAATGCACTGATAATTTTGATGTTCCTTACAAACGTTGATTTGCCTAAACATTTTTTCTAAATCGGCTGTAAAAGCTACTTTGTGACTTCTCCATCGAGAAATAATACTTGACAAATCACTTTGCAATGCCGGCCCTGCAGCAAGTTCATCATTGAGAGAAGGGTGAGGGGGACAACGATTCCCACCGTCGAATACAACGCGCAATTTGGTGGTGCTGCTGCATTGCCGTAAGACACCATGATGACAAAAGAAATATGAATTTTCTTGCAGATCTTCTGGATAAAAGCCGACTTCTTGCATGTGACCTAAGCTTAGATATTCTGCCATAAAATCTTTGTAAAGCTTTGCAAAGTTAGGTTGATTTTTGAATCGCATTTCTAGCTGCTTAAGTCTTTTAACAGCGTTAAAGTCGGTGCCACTAAATGCTGGGAGCTTACCCTGTGCAAATAGGGTTTTAAAAGGTAAGTGAACCGTATACCGGCCGCATTTATCCCGCTTGTAGGTTTGCAAAAAGTGGTTTTCGCAGGCTGTCTCTTCGGAAGAGAGCTGGCGCTCTTCGTGCAGTTCCTCCTGTTCCCAAAATAAACGAAGCTGATCATCTAGAGTACATAAATTTGTATGCAAAATTTGTTGTGAAGGAGTTGTAGTAGATGGACCAGAAATCATCCATCCAAAATGAGTTTCTTGTAGGAAAATGCCACGTTCGTACTTTTTCATGCCAGAGAGTAAGATATCGCCATATACATCTCCGCCTAAAACTAGGTCGATATTGACGGGCAAAGCAAAGGTTGGATCAGCAAGAAAAATGCCGGATAAATTTGGCATACCGCGCAAGTGATAAGGCGATGGTTTGTATGATGTCAATTTCGGCAAAATAAACGCGGTGCAGTCCATTTTAAAGTCTTTTTATATTGTGAGCGCAAGCATAGAGTTAGAGACCTTTTAGCAATTAAAGCATTTGCTCCACCAATGCCAGCTACAATAACATTGGTATTTCGTTTTGGCAAGTTGAGCAACTGAGCGGCGTCCTCTGTTATGAATGAGGCTTGAGCGCCTTGATCAACGAGTGCTTTCAAGTGAAATTGTCGCTCAGGTGTTTCAATAATCACCCGTACCGTAGCGAGTAAGACTTGAGCGTTAGTAGTCGCAGAGTGCACTTCTGCATTCATAATTTGAGCAGTAGTTGTGAGATTTGCAGAAAGTTTGTGTTCGTCATTTTTATTGTTGCGAAGAGCGAATGCATTGTGAATAACAGTGTGGTGCGGCTGCTTACAGGCCTGGCAGCGGGAATTTCTTTCGCACTCACTGTATGTATGACCCTTACCTAAACAGTTTAGGCATAGCCTATGTTGTAGGACAAAGCTCTGCTTTTCAGCAGCAGGTAGTGCAGAAAATTTAAAACATTTGTACAAGAGATATTGTTTTTGACAACAGGGACAGCTATAATTTGACGATGCTGAACTGGCGGTAGTAGTAGCTGCATTAGCATGTAATTGTCTGCGAGCAGGTTTGTGTTGTTTTTGTTTGTCGCTGTACGAGCGGTTCACAACCTTTTTTGATGTGTCCTCTTCTTCGATAAATTCAAGGGCTCGATAAGTAGTTTCGAGAAACTTAAGGAAAGTTTGTACTGGAGGAATTTCACTGCGACCATTTAGATATTGCTCCCATTCTTTTCTAATTTGTCTGTCAAGCTTTTGAGTGAGCAAGAAAATTAGCATGGGATCCCAACTAGAGGTGTCTATTTCTAAAGTTTTCAGTAGAGCAAGGCTGTTGCGAGTGAGGTCGAGCAGCAGTTTTACGCTTTGTAAACCACCATCGGTATTTTGTGCATTGACGAGCCTTTTTAAAATTTGATCCACTAGTTTTCTTTTGTTGTGAAACCTACTTACCAAGGCAGCCCAGGCAGTTTCATAGCTGGCATCCGTAGCTGGAAGTTCTTCCACCATTTCTTTAGGTGTGCCGATGCAAGATCCCTTTAGATAAAAATATTTTTGTACCGGTGTTAAGGCGTCGTTATTATGTACCAGCGATAGAAACATATCCACTCCAAATAGTCTCCAGAAAACTTAGGCAAGTCGATTTTTGGCAGTCGTGCAGAAGCAGCGGTAGTGTCATTCCGTGTAGTGGCCATAGCGAAGGTGCTTGCGTGCGCGAGCGGCGACGGCCATGGCGCGAGGTCATTTTGTCGATCAAGTAAGGTAGACTTAAAGGCGATATATAAATCGTAGCAGGTATAGAAAACTTCCTCCTTCAGATAAGGAATGTCGTCCTCGTCAAGCGATGCGTTGCGAATAAGAGTGTAGATTTGTTCATGGCCGCGCTTAAAGTCCTGGAAGATAGTATCAATCTCCGCGAGAAGACTCTGAACATAACCTCTCGAGATCTCAGACGATTGCTTAGACTCGAAGTTAGTCTGGATTCGAGTGAGATGGGTTTGAATTCGGCGCTGCTCCTCAATTGCGCCGCTAAGGGACTCCATTTCTTTAAATATGCGATATTACGCGACTTCAAGCGTGCAGAAGGAAAAATTGGTTATTAAGCTAAGCGTAGAAATTTCTTGTGGTCGCTTGTATTTGCTTCCCTCCCGGGTTTCGGCACCAATTTAATGTTGCGAAATCATTAATAGTAATACGAACCTTGTTATAAAATTCAGGTTAAGTTTAAAACCGCGTGTCTTTCCTTTAAGTTCAGAATTCAAGAGAGAGTTTTTATTACAAAAAGCAATGTTCAGTTTTACATTACAGGGTTGCTAAGCGTAAAAACAATTCAATGTTCACTACAACATTACAGAGCTGCAAAAGTCAGTAAGAAAGTAAAATACTATGCAATAATATTGAACACTATATAATTTGAAAATTTTAAAAACATGTAATGACATGTCATGCATATGATATCATATCATCTGATGTCATATCATGTGATGTGATGTCATGTGATGCTATATCATATCATATCATTTAACGTGATATGATAACATGTAATGTGATCACGTCATGTGCCGATTATTATGTCGATAACACTATCGATAACTGTGCCGATAAATATACCCATAACAATATGGATAAACATATCGAAAAATATAACGATTGCAAAATCGATTAATTTATTGATAACAGTATCGATAATTATACCAATAACAATATCGATTATTTTATCGATAACAATATCGATTATTATATGACAGTATCGATTATTAATACCATAGCAATATAGATTACGATATCGATAACATTATCTATCTTCATCCTCAACTTTTTTATACCCGAGCGCACTTGTGCACAAGGGTATTATAACTTTGTTCACATAACGGTTGTTTGTAACAGGCAAAACGAAAAGAGAAATCGATTAAGCGGTGACTGTCTGTCCGTCCGTCCGTCCGTCTATCCGTCCGTCGGTGCACACGATAACTCGAGTAAAAATTGAGATATCTTAACGAAACTTGGTATGTGAACTTCTTTCCGGCGTAGGACGGATGGTATTGAAAATGGGCAATGAAATTTTAGTAACTACTGAAGATTATTCACTAAAAATTAATGTTTACAACAATTTTTTAGACAGAAACTAAGAATATTATAAATTTTTGGAAAATGGGCGTAGCCACGCCCACTTTTGGTTACATGTGTATATCTTGGTAACCGCTGCACCAATTTCTTCCAAACTTGGCACAGTTGTTAGTCTTGCTACGGCATACTAAATGGCCAAAAATTTTTAAAATTGGACAATAACCACGCCTACCTCCTATATAACAGTAATTTGGAGAAATACGAAATCTTGGATAAATCAATAAATATTAAAGCTAATTTTCTCAAAATTGATGCTTGCAACAATTCTTTACCAGGAAATACGTTTATGATAAAGTTTTGGAAAATGGGCGTGGCACCGCCCACTTATGATCACATATATGTATCTCGGTAACCGTTCTATCAATTTGTACCAAGCTCGGTATGGTTATTGTGCTTGCTACATAAAAGAAAACCGTTGAAAATTGTTGAAATCGGACTAAAATTACGGCCGCTTTTCATATAACGGTAAAATTTAGAAATGCTTGAAACTGCAATATTTCGAAATTTAAGGACGCTAATTTACTCAAAATTGATACACCCCGGCTTAACATCTAGCGGTAGGTTTCGGAAAGGTGAAAATCATATACTTAGTACCTGCGCCGGGTATTTAATGTTCGGCTCCGCTCGAACTTATACTTTCTTACTTGTTGATATTTACCTTTATTTTTGCGTATTCCCCTTCACCCTTACCGTAAGTTTTTAAATTTATCTCAATCTTCGGTTTTGCCTTTATCTTTAGGCATCTTACATTTTTTTATTTTTACCTTTGCCATATATGTACGTACTAACCTTTACTTCCATTCTTGTATTAGGCTTAATCTAAATCCGCTTATTAGCACATTTTTGTTAAATTAATACCATGTGCACGCAATCAGAAACACGTGCTTACGTTGCAATCATTTCCGTCCCAATCATTTCCGTGGGCATCATTGTCATGTGCATCATTTCCGTTGAATTTGCCAATTTAAAGCGCAGTTACCCACGGACGTAAAACGGAGAACATGTCAGCTGACATGATCTATCTTATACCATGTTCTGACCGACATCGAAAACATGGTTTCGTTGCCAAAACTAGTTTTCGACCTAAAACATGTGTTTTCGTCCATGTAAAATCTGTCAAACGAGAACCAGTTTTCGCTGAAAACTACTTGAAAACTCACGTTCCACTCGTTCCAATCGGTGTCTTCACTAGTTTTTTTCGATTATTTATCGAAGTGGAAGTCATATTTTATCATCTTTAATAAGCTATTTCGTATTTATTGTTAATTGGCTGGCCAAAGTAAAATAAGAATGAACGTAAGAGGTTGCTAATGAAAAGAGAATAAGGGAAAAGCACTTTGGTATTGTTTTTGTGTAGCAAAACTGCAATGAAAGGATGGAAGAAATGTCAACGAAAACACTAACAGCCGGTGTGAACAGCCTTCAGCCCACAATTCCAAAACTCGTTTTCAAAGTGTTTTCGTTGTCGGCCAGAACAGGTATTATCTGCGTGTTAACAAAAACTCACAACCACATGACCATGACGTAAACGTTGCTTCTCTCTTTTTCTACCAACAGCAAACTTGATATGTTTCTACGTACTTCTACGCTACGTTACGTACACGTTCCGTCGTCTTCATCAAAAATAAATCGATCAGCCGGATTTGTCAACTTGGTTGCGGTTGCTCAGAGCATGCACGTAACCACCAGCTTAGTGCAGAGTACATGCTGCGCTCGCAACTTGCTGTAATATTATTCTTTATTGCATAAACCGGTGTATGCACACCCATCAATCATTACACTATGCGACAGTCAAAATCGGGATGGGATGAAACCAACGGGAAATGTTATATCGGTCAAAAACAAGTTATATCGAGATATATCGATTTGAAGTTAGTAACTATCATATAGGGTAAATTGTCACCTTTGGTGGAGATACCTTCCCTTAATTGTGAATAAAAGCGAAACGCGTCCATCGATTTTCATGATCTATGTCTCATTTTGCTTAAAGGTTATGTGACTTTGCGTGAACGTAATACGACTTGCCTTTTTTCCGTTTTGGATTTTTTATGAATTTAAAAAATAAAAAAATTTAATATTTTAGGCAAAAAATATTTTTTTTCTTCATACATTTATTTTTACCGGCAAAACTGTTGATTATATAGAAAAACATTATATGAACAGATTAAAGGAATTGTAATTTTTAATTTTTTTTAATTTGTTTGAGCAAAATAGGACTAGTGGTTCTCGAGTTATGTCAAAAAAAAGACCACCAAAGGTGAC